ATATATATATATATATATATATATATTATATACATATATATGTATATATATATATATTTATATTTTATAACAAAGAGCAGTAGGGCGAGAGAGAAGAATAGATTTGTTTGTCTCTCTTCTTCGTCTTCCTCGCTTTTGCTTCGCGGAGCTTCTTCAATTATATATGTATATATGTAAATATATATATATATATTATATATATATTACATATATATATATCTTATCTTTGTTCTGTACAGATTAGATATGTTATATATATTATATACTTTATATGTAATGTAAATTTTGTATAATATATTTATTGTGTACTATCAATAATATATTATATAATATATATAATATATAATGTATATAACATACGATATTTATTAAATAATAAATATATAATATATATATTTATTATAAAATAGATAAATAATATATCTGGCTGCATAGATAAGTATTTATTTATGAAAGACTTCGCTGTCTCTGTTTGCAACAGAGAGAAGTAATGCATGCATTTAATTTGTTTATTTATTATTATTATTATTATTTTCTTCTTCTTCTCTTTCTTGCCTCTTTACTCTGACGGCAGACGGAGGGCAATACTATTTTATTATTACTATTATTATTATTTTATTATTATTATATTATTATTATTTTGTTATTATTATTTTATTATTAATTATTTTATTATTTTATGCACTCAGCCCACTTCAGGGCGTCGCCCGAAAATCGCAGTACTTCAAATCAAAACGTCTACATAAATATATGTATATATAAAATATATATATATATATATATTGTATATATTTATTACATATGTATATTTATTATATATATATTTATTATATATATGCCTCTTTTTCACTCTCTCTAAATATATACGTACATATATGAAAGAGAGACATATAAATATATAATATATATATATATATATTTATTTATTTATTTATATATATATATATGCCTGTCTCTCTCTTTCACTCTCCCTCGCTTTCCATACATATATATATATATATATTACATTATATATATGTATACCTGTATTTCTCTTTCAGTCTGTTTGTTTATTTGTTTGTTTGTTTGTCTGTTTATATATCTTTGTCTGTCTCTCTTTTGTGGTGTCTGCACACTGCACCTCCTCTTCATTCTTCTCTTTGCGAGGAAAACATATTTAAATAAATTAATTTAAATTAGACGCCTGAATTTTTGTTTGTTGCAGACAAACAGCAAAGCAGACCTGAGTTACTGCAACTGTCTTTCTTCATAAAACAAAAACAAATAAACAAATAAAATAAATAAATAAATAAATAAATCACCCCCTTCTATATATCTGTTCCTCGGTTCTCTGGCGGCACATAGTGCTTTGATAGGAATTAAAAATAATAATAATAATTATAATTAAAATAATTAATATAATTATTATAATTATAATTATCATTATTAAAAAAAAAGAAGTGCGGCACTTTGCTGCACTTTGCTATTTGTTCTGTACGAGCAGAACAACACAAACAAAAGACAGACACGCAAAGACACCCCACAACCCGCTGCTGGGGTGTCTTTACAGCTGCTGCTGCTGCAGCAGCAGCAGCAGCAGAAGCGATAGCAGCTGCAGCAAGAGCAGCAGCAGGAAGATCAGCAGCAGCTGCTTCAGCAGCTGCTTATATTACATATGCTTCTGCGTATTATTATTTTCTGATGATGAAGCTCGAGGAAATGAACGAGCGGCATTAGCATAGACCTACGCCTTCATTTAAATTAACTTTTATTACTTTGCTGCTCCTTCTCTAATAAAAGAAGATATATGTGCTTTGTTGTGGGGGCCGCTGCCTCCACCGTACATATTAGGAAAAGACACAAGAAAATGCATCCCAGGCTCGAAGTCGCCGAAGCCGGTGCAGCCGCCTTCATAAACAAAAACAAGAAAAAGAAATATAAATATAAAATATAATATAATTCAACAATTAATATATAATTACTTCAAGCGAAACAGAGACAAAAAAAATAATTTAACGGAAAGACGAAACAATAAATAATTATTTAAAACGAAACTGAGATATATGATATATATATATATATGTATATATGTATATATATATATATAACAGATAATATAACAATAAAATAATTATGTATATATATACCTGAATAGAGTCTCCTATCCCACATATGATAGCCGAGCAGCTCTTCTTCTTCTTGCAGCTGAAATTTCGCCTCTTCGACGTACGGAGCCAAATAAGGGATAAAAGGGTCGTAGTTTTGTTCTGAGGTGTACAGACACCAGAACAATTAAATCTACTTTGCTAATACTGCAACGCAATCGCCTTCTTATCCTCTACATATATATATACCTATATATTATTTATGTACGCATATATATATATATATATGTACATATATATATATATATTATATGCATTATTTATATATGGATATATTTGTATAACAGTATGTTATTATTTGTACAATACATAAATGAATATACAAAGAGGTAATATTAACAATGTACTACGATATAAATGATATATACAATAGTTTGCATATCTATACACACATATATATATACATATATATATATATATATATACATATATATATATATACAGGTTATAAACAAAGATGCTGCACTGAATGTCAAAGACACGAAAGAAAAGCGCTGTAAAGAAATGCAGCTGAGCGGTGTTTGTTTGCGGTGTACGGGCACCTCGCTGGCTGCATTTGATTAAAACTCTGACATTATCTAAGTGTAAAAATAGAGAAACGAAGAATAAAAATAAGACTAAAATATAAATAATATAAACAATAATGAATATATTAAATGTATATATTAAATATATTAATTAAAACTTATTTATACAACACCTTGAAGAGGTAAATAAAGACGAATATGATTTAAATGCGTCGCTCGCATTATTCTTCGATAACGCGCTGTGGCGATGTCTTCTGGAAGCAGCTCCAAAGCCCTCTCTATTACGGGTTCTTTATCAGAATAAAGGTCGTCATACATTAAACCTATTCATATAAACAAATAAATAAATTAATTAACTAATAATTTAAGGTATAAAAAACACTTTAAATATATAAATAGATAAATTCAAATAAACAAATAAAGCAACGATTCAAATAAATAAATAAATAAATAAATAAAGAGCGACAGCAGCACAACTGCATGCAAAATATGTTAAAGCTGTTGTCTATTGCTGTTAATAAGCAAGAAAAGAAGTGCAGCACATTATTTGTTTCTAAGCCCGAAGGACAATCGGAAGAAGACAGATAAATAAATTGAACACAACGAAGAATGCAGACAATGCACAAGAAAAAAAGCTGCAACTAGCAAACAGCAAATAAAAAATAATTTTGTGTATTTGTTTATCATCACCACACCGAAGGTGTACATACACCCCAATATCCAACAGCAGTAAAGATAAGTTTGCTGCTGCATGCATGCAAAGCCTGTATAATCCTGCAACTCAATAGAAGCGTTAATACATATTATATTATTGTTTGTTGCAGTGTATAGGCAGCTGCAGATGCAGATGCTTACCATGCTCCCTTAGATACTTTCCAACCGCTGCTTGATTCCATCTGTCTAAAGGGCCTCTAAAGAAGCGACACCAGATAGGGGCAAGTGCATCTTCTAGAAAAGAGCGGAGGCGAGAAGGTGGTTTAGTTGCAGGGGTAAAGCATAGTAAGCTGTTGTTGCTGCTGCCTGCTACTGCTGCTGGAGAAGTTTTCGCTGCATATCTGGCGAAATATTTCGCCACTTCTTTGTGAAATGCAGACATTGGCGCTGCAAAATAAAAAAAGAAGAAATATTTTCAAGCTCGCTGCGCTCGTCTAAGGAGCATCAAGCCCCAGAACGCCGCAGCGGAGGCACCGAAAAAAGAGGGAAAGCGCAGGTAAATGAGGCGAAAAAGAGAATATATGCCCAGTAGAAGATGTTTAGAATTAATTTACTCAAGAAGAAACGATAAAAATGCAAATATTATGCCGCTTCCTTCCGTGGGTTTCCACACACAACAGACAGTTGAATAACAAACAGCCGAAAGGTGAATGCATGCATCAAGCACGAAGACGACCTCTTTAGATAATTAACTCTTTTAATCCAATAAAATAAAATTATATTCACCAATTCTTCATATTATTGCAGATATTTTTATGTTTGTTCGTTCGGTTTGAATCGACTGACAACTTGCGGTGTACGTACACCTCAACATGCGTACAACATAAACGAGAAAAACATCTTCGCCTTTGTTTAGCGAAATAAATTAAAAGATAAATTTCAGCCAATTATTTACTCTATTTTTTGATTTGCCTCTGTAAAATGCAACGCGTTGTTATATATGTATACATATATATACATAATATATATTGATATGCATAGCGAAATTTTTTCTGGTGTATAGACAGTGGAAATGTGGCATTAAAATATGATAAAAAGGAAGTGAAGTTAGTAAAATAATGGAGGGAAGTGGAGGAAAATAAAAAATTAAATTGAATTAAATTAAATTGAATAAAAAGAGAATAGGTTTCGCCGTGCTCATCTCCCTGTATGTCACTTCGTTCTTTTTTTTAGTTTTTTTTTCTCTCTTTGAACTATAACTAGCATTTAATGTCTTCTTCTTACCCCCGCAAACCCCTGCAAAAAAGAAGAAAATAAACGGCTAAAGGACATCTTTAATCCATTGGCTATTATTCCTCTTCATTCTGCTGTATATACACCTCCCTTA